CTTCACCCCTAAGCACCTCTGCACATCAGAGAAGCACTTGGCTGAGAGGGCCCTGACTTACAAGGAAAAACAATCTTTTGTTCACCTCTCACTTCTGGTCTTTCAGACTATTCCCTCTTGCTGTGGGTGAGTAATTAAAAGGAGAAGGAAAACAGGATGCATGTAATTCTCTTTAGCAAAATTAAAGCAAAACTTTATGCAAGACGCTGCTGCTTGTGCCTCTGCCTTTATGTAGACTTGGGAAGCCTGTCACTCAGCACACCCGTATCACCTACTGTGCAGCTCATCATTGTGTGGGAAGCTAGTGCACATGCCTGCCTCCAAGGACTCACTTTCCATTGTGGGGACTTACATATACAGCCAAGGGAATGCGTCTCAGTGCTCTCTGCCCACCTCCAATCTGTCCTCCACAGAGAAGCCAGAGTAAACTCTCAAAACCAATGGTGTCCTTTTCCTGCTTCTGCAGTTTAATTTTCCTCCAGTTGCCCCAATGGAAATAGACAGGTCCTTTAAGATGATCCCAGGGGTTTTACTCAGTTGCCTTGTTTGGTACTAATGCTTAGAACACAACACAAACCAAATGCCAACACATGTGTAGAGACACACACAAAGTTGTTCATCTAGTCTTTCTAAAAAGTTTAGCCTTAGCCATCATGTCTTAGTTGGTTGGAGCATCATCTTGTAGACCAAAAATCCATGGGTTCAATTCCCAGTCAGGGCCTGTACACAGATTATGGGTTTGAACCCTGGTTGGGACATGTACAGGAAGGCAGTCAATTGATGTTTCCTTCACACATCCATCTCTCTCTCTCTCGCTCTCTCTCTCTCTCTCTCTCTCTCTCATCAATGAGAAAAATGTCCTCAGGCAAGGATAAAAACTTTTTAAAATGTAACGTCATTTTTCTCATATAGATACAAAATAAACATGTGTTAAAGGCTTTTATTGTGTTTAAAAGCACATAACATCAGATCTACCCTCATAACCAATTTTTAAGAGCCCAGTATTAACAACTTCCAGAGCTCTGTTGTACAGAGCTCCCTAGAACTTTCTCATCCTACGTAATGGAAACGCCATGGCCATTACAGAGCAGGTCCCCATGTCATCTGACTCATGAATGAGAGAACCAGGCAGAAACGACAGGAGCACAGATCTGTGTGGAGTGCAGGAGTGTTGAAGGGAAGTTGTGAATGGATGTGACACTGGGTTGTGGGGGGATTCAAGTGACCCTCAGGCAGACAGAGTGCCTGTGTGTGTCTGTGGACTTGAACTACTTCCACGGTTTCCAATTATCTGTAATCTATGGCAGTGTAAAACTGTTCAAATGCAATAGAAGGCCAGAATCAGATAACCCTGGAAGTGTGTGTGGTAGAGAATGCACAGTTTTCCACCGCAGATGGCCAGTCATTTAATTTTTGCATCAATTTTCATACAATAATTAAAGCAAATACTTACTGATCATCTAATATAAGTCAAGCTTGTTCTAAGCAGTGTGGTGGATTCAGCAGTAAGAAGAGGTACAAGATTCTTCCTGAGGTTTACATTCTAGTGGCAGGAAAGACAGACAAAGAATGACTAAGTAGATCCTATGTTATATGGGTTGGTGATAAGGAGCCTGGAGATAAACACAACAGGAAAGGTTTATAGAAAACATGGGATGATGGGAGTAAAAGGGAGAAAACAGGACTTGAACAATTATTAAAATTATAAAAATAGAGAAAAAACCATGGGATGGATTGTATTCTTCATGCGATTATTGAGAAGCTGAGGTTTGAGTGTGTGTACATTAGCTTCACACACACATGCACACCTCAGATGTGTGCACACAGAGATCAGAGACACACACAATCACAGACACACACATACACACAGAGATCCCGCACACCCACACACACAGATACACCTCAACACACACACAGACATACTCCCTAGAGAGACACATGGAAAAAAGACAGGCACCACCAGACATACACACATACACCTTAGATACATACAGAGAGACCCCACACACAGGTGCATGCACACAAACACACATGCACAGGCACATACTTCACATACACACACAGACACAAACACCAGGCAAAGAGACTGTAAACACAGACACACTTGTCCACAGACACACAACACAGACATGCACACAAACACACAGAAACACCTACACACCTCAGATATACACACAGACACACCTGACACACACAGACCACAAACACAGACACACACAGAGACTCAGACATATAAACACTTACAGACAGAAACGCATGCCACAAGGAAACAAACACTTCTAAAGAATACACACACACACAGACACACAACAGGTCTCACACCCTGGGTCCTCACATGGGCAGCTTTGCAGGGGAAGATTCAGGCCTGATGGTCAAGCCAACCAGACCCAACATCCTAGCAGGAGGGAAGGTCAGGGACACTCAAATCTCCAGGTCCCTCTCGGTCATTCCAGTGACCTGTCCTTCTCAGAAGCCACCCCCTGCTCATTGTGTCACCATATCCATATCGCCCCAGTCCCTGAGCCTGTGGTCCAGCAGTCCCTGCAGCCTCATCACCCACCCTCAACCCACCACTGGCCTGAGAGGGAACTAAAGTTCTGTCCACACTCAGACCGAGGACTGGGGGATGGGCAGGGAAGGTGGAAACATCTCTCCACCTTTGGAAAAAATGACACCTAAAGCCAGGACAGGTGGGAAGGAAAGTGGACTCACCAGAAATAAGTAGGGGTGGAGAAGCAGGAGGAGAACAGAAAGAGGGAAGGGAGCAATGGAAAGGGGCAGGTGGAGGAGGAGGAATTGGAAGGGAGGGGAGGGGAGGGGAGTGGGCAGATTCCCTTGGACCCTGGAGCAGAGGGGCTGAAGGACTGACTGAAGCAAGAGGGATACAGCAGGACCCCACTCTCAGTACCACCAGTGTCTCTGGCTCTGGTCTTGCTTGTCAAATGGGGAGACTTGCCTCCCAAACAACCCTGCTTCCTTTCCACCCACCAGCTTACCTGTCCAATCCCTCCCACACACCCTCTCTCGCTCCTCAGGTTCCTCCATCACACCTTTCCCTTGTATCAGCCCTAACCAGTCAGGCTGTGACTCTGTCCATGCTGCCCACTCCTGGTCCAGCAGGGTCTGCTTCACCTCAGCCCATCCCCTCAAGATCACCATGCTCCAGAGATGAGAAGCAGGTACCCAGGGAGCAGGTGCAGTGACAGGCCTCTCCAGCAGAGGAAGCAGCCAGAGCAGAGTCCACAGGGCTGGTACTGCCCTGGAGAGAGGAGGAGCAGGGTGGCTGGGCTAAAGCTGCAGCCCTGCAGGGTGCAGAGCAGATGGAGGAGGAACAAGGGGTTTCCTTACAGGGCTTCTTCCACTTACCAAGTCCTTCCCTTCCCTCTCCTCCTCCCACCCACAGAGTGGCCCCATCCTACAGACCTGCCCCATGTGGACGGTGTCCATTGCGGGCCAGGCCAGGCCGCTCCCCACAATTTACTTGTAGGAACTCCTCCATCTTCTTGGCAACCCCTTGTGTTCCCTGGCTCCAGCTGTCATAACACAGTGCTGCCACTAGGGGGCAGAAACCCCAGAAATTCATAGTCTCACAGTTCTGGAGACAGGAAGTTCAACATCAAGGTGTTGGTTGGACTGTTCCCCTCTGAGGTCTCTCTGATTGGCTTGCAGGTGGTTCTTCCCCTTTAACCTCTCCTCTGTGCATGTCTGTGCCCTAAACTCTCCTTATAAGGACACCAGTCCTATTGGATGAGGGTCTACCCTAGTGACCTCATTCTACCTTAACCCCCTAAAAGATCCATCTCCAAAACAAGTCATATTCAGCAATAGTGGGGGCCACGACATGAACAGAAGAATTTTGGGAGTGACAGAATTCAGCCCACAGCACCACATGATCCTGGGCATCTGACTGTGCACACGGCTGTGAGGCCTTTCCCGAGGCAGCACACTGAGCATGGAGGAGCCAGGCTGGAGCCCAGGGCCATCTGGCTGCAGAGCCCGCACTTCTGACCCCACCCTGGAGGCCTCACTGAGGAAGCCCAGGCTTGAGCTGGCTATCAGGGCATGTCCATGGAGCCCCAGACTCAGAGTGACCACTGAGGACTGGGGAGGACCCGCACCTGTCCTTACCTAGGGTTCTCCCACAGATGACAAGGGTTGAGGACTGTGATGCCTCCCTGTCACAGATGAGGAAAGTGAGGCTTGGAGGGTGCTTGGACCTGAGTCCAAAGGCACACTGTGTTGCCATCTTGCTCTGAATCAACACCAGGGGTGCCTGGGCAGGGGTCTCCAAGCAGGCCAGGAAGCTGAGGACCACCTGTGAGGTCACAGGCTGCTGACCCCTGGTTGGCCTAATCCTGTCCTCTCTGGCCATTCTCACCTGGGAGCTCACTGTGGACTGCCCAGTGGAACTGGGTTTCCTACACACCCTGGCCTGGGCTTTTACCAACATACCCTGACCACTGAGAACTGGCATGGCCTGGGGCCCCTCTGCATCCCTGGGTGTGAGGGTCAGTCTCAGGGACAGGGACAAAGGCTGCCACAGTCTCCACTTTAACTCCTCGCCCCTGAGGGAGTACATGCTCTGGTTGTTTGTGTGTTCATTCCTTCCTCCGTCACCACTCGTCTCACCTGGAGGACTATGTCACAATTCCTGCCTTCCCGTTCACTTCAGAGTCACTCCTGAGTCCTGCTCTCAGGAGACTGATCCTGTGTATTTTACAGCAGCTGTGCTTGCTTTCTTGAGTGGACAGTAGTGCCAGAGGGACAGGCCAGGACAGGGAGTTGAGAGTGGTGGTGTGGGTCTTCCTTGGTGTATGGGCACCTCATGGGGACTTCATCCGGGAAATGGAAGTGCTTATCCTCCAAGGGCTAGGCCAGCTCTACCACACGGGCTGCCCACTTCCTCCTCCCTGATCATCACCTTTCTCCCTTCCCCCTGGCTTCCTGCTGGAGCTTCATCTCAGTCCTGTGACACTGAGACCCTGACACTCACCCCAGAGATGCTGCTGCTGCTGCTGCTGCTGCTGCTGCTGCTGCTGGCCCTGCTGTGGGCAGGTGAGTGCCCCAGGGGAGAGTGTGTGGGCTGGGGTGAAAACTGTGGCTGATTAGTCTTTCCCTGCAGGGTCTCTGGCTCAGGATGCAAGATTCCAGTTGCAAGTGCAGGGGTCCGTGACGTTGCAGGAGGGCCAGTGTGTCTTCGTGCCCTTCACTGTGATCTACCCCAATAAAAGCTGGACTGAGTCTGCCCCAGCTCATTGCTACTGGTTTTTGGAAGGGGCCAACACAAACACGGATCCTCCTGTGGCCACAAACGACCCCAATTGCAAAGTGAGGGACGACATCAGGGGTCGATTCCACCTTTTCGGGAATCCCTGGACCTCCAACGGTTCCCTGCACATCAGAGATGCACAGAAAAGGGACGCAGGGAGATACTTCTTTAGGATAGAGCGAGGGTCCTATGTGAAAGAGAATTACAAAAACAACATGCTGTCTGTACATGTGACAGGTAAGAAATGGGGCCCAGGTGAGGACACATGGCTGGGTCCTGAGGGCTCCTGGGCTGGGAAGGAACCTGATTCTCCTCATCCTGGGAAGGACACAGGGGGACTGATGGGGACTGGACCTGGAGGATGGACTAACACAAAGGCTGCAGTTAGGGGACACACTCGGGGTCCCCACCTCTGGGGCTACGGTCCTTGTCTTTCTCTTCTCCAGATCTGGTAACTGACATCCACATCCTGGGGACCCTGGAATATGGACACCCCAACAACATTACATGTACAATATCATGGGCCTGTGACAGAGAGACACCACCCTTCTTCTCCAGGATGGGAGCCAACCTCACACCCCTGGGTCCTGAGACTCCCAACTCCTCAGTGCTCACCCTCACACCAGGGCCCCAGCACCACAGCACCAACCTCACCTGTCAGGTGGCCTTGCCAGGTGGTGAGATCAAGGAGAAGACTGTCCAGCTCAATGTGCCCTGTGAGTACCGATCTTGTCACTGGTACACTGGTACCTGGGATTGGAGAGAGTTGAGTGTGTAGGTTTGAACTGTGTTAGTGGGGCTGGGGAAGAATTAAGGAGGACACCCAATTTCACCCCCTTCCTATGTATGAAATTTGTGGGTGGAAAGGGCCAATGGTCACCTTTCTGCCACTGAACAGGGAACAATTATGTCTGTCTGTCCAGATGCACTCCAGAACCTAACTATCATGTCCTGGCAAGAAGGCACAGGTAGGGTGCATCTTCTCCTGTCTGGGGATGGTGGAAGTGGGTCTCCCTGCATCCTTCAGAGCAGAGCTGGGATTTCAGAACTCAGAAGAAAGACAGACTCAGGCCAGGTGAGAGGACAGCAGAGGAGAGAAACCTTCACTCACTCCTTCTCAGCTTACAAACTGTCCTCCCCACCCCCAACCCCTCACAGGACACTGCATGAGGTTCTCAGATGTACAGCACTGTGGTAAGACATTCATAGAACTTACAAAGGAATAAGTTTAGCTCCCCATGGCACCATCCATAGTTATTACAATATTATTCACTATATTCCCTGTGCTGTACTTTACATCCCATGACTATTTTTATAACCAGCAATTTGTAATATTATTTTTTGAATCTCCTTAATTTCTTCTAGTAGCCTCATGTAAACACCCACAACATGACCACTCGGATGGGCCTCACAGGACTACTTACTTCTCTGGGAGCAGGTGGGACCATGCCACACCCTGGTGGTAGTTGTGATTTGTGCCATCCTCCCACAGTGTCCTCCATGCCAGCACCATCACCTATCCAGCTGCCACCCCTTCTCCTGTTCTGCCTAAGCCTCTCTTCCTCCAGGAAGCCTTCCCTGACCTGCCAGTCTCATTCAGGTCCCGACCTCAGGGCTCCTTCAACACAGTTAACCCCCAGTCATAAAGTACATTTTTCTGCTCTGTGAGAACCTGCTTTTTGGGTGTCTTGTCCATGAGATTGTGAGCTGTGAGACACAGCTGAACTGGGCAGGTCATAGTGTACTTCTGTGGGCAGATGTAAATGACATGGTTCATCCAGAGAAATCTGAGGTCTGCGTTCGCACTGGTAGTGAAGGCAGGAAGTGTGGGGACCAGGGTGGTCCAGCCAAACCCTCAGCAGCCTCTTGAAGAGGCTGTAGTGCATGCCCCTAGCCCTTTCCTTTAGGGGCTGAGCCCAGATGGTAGAGCCCATGGGATTATGGAAGAGAAGAAACTGATGTACATAAAGAATGGAAGGGGGAGAGAGCATGTGCACAGAGATGATGACAGAGACAGAGAGAGAGAAAAATATAGAAATGAGAAGAGAGAGAGGCATGTAGATGAAGAGGGAGATTGAAAAAGAGAACTAGGGAGAAGAAGACAGAGGCAGAGCCACAGAGAGGCAGGGAAATACAGGCAGGGAGAGAGGGAGACAGAGGGAGACCTAACCACAGGGGGGCTGGACTCTCTCTCTGTCTTGCCAGGATATAAAGTTCTGTCTAAGGGCTCATCTCTCCAAGTCCAGGAGGGCAAGTCCCTGCACCTGGTGTGTAAAGCCTACAGCAACCCACCTGCCAGTACGTGGTGGGCCCAGGGCAGCCTGACCCTGGAGTCCATGCACCCAGGGGTCCTGAAGCTGCCCCAGGTGGAACTGGAGGACCATGGGAAATACATCTGCCGAGCTCAGAAGCACGAGTCAGCCTCTCTGGAAGTCTCTGTGACCCTCAGTGTGAAGAGTGAGTAGAAGCACACTTGGGGGCAGGGCCCTGGGGTCTTGGGGAGGAGAGAGGCTCCTCTGATCCCTCCCCTGTTTCTCCCCACAGACCCCCCACAGCTGCAGGGACCCTCCTGCTCCTGGGAGGACCAGGGTCTCCACTGCAGCCTGTCCTCTTGAGCTCAGCCGGCCCCCTCGCTGTGCTGGTGGCTGGGGGAGGGCCTCTTGGAGGGGAACCATAGCAATGCCTCCCACACAGTCACCTTCCACTCAGCAGAGCCCTGGACCAACAGCTCCCTGAGTGTCCATGGGGACCTTACATCCAACCTCAGGCTGGGATGTGAGGCCCAGAATGCCCACGGGAAAGAGACAGTGACTGTCCTGCTGCTGCCAGGTCAGGTGTGAGCGGGGAAGCCCAGGGAGGGGGCACTCAGCTCTGGAACCTAGAAGACACTGAGTGTGAGGGAAAGTGTCCTGATTCTGGGCAAAGGGACACTGGAGTCCAGGCCCCTGAGACATTGGCTGGGGAGGGGCTGGGGGAACTGGAGGCTGCAGTCACATGAAGGGTGGGGGACAAAGGAGTCCTGCATGGGAGTGGGCACACTGGTCAGAATGGATTTGAGAAGGCAGGGTGCACAAACACCTGCCTAGGGAAGGAGGAGCTCACCCCAGGTGTCTTGTCTCTGCAGGGAGACCAGGATATAGGACAGGAGTGATTCAGGGGGCTGTCCGGGGAGCTGCTGCCTCAGCCCTCCTGGCTGTCTGCCTCGGCCTCATCATGTGAGTAGGTGGTGGCCCCAGGCTGGACAAAGGCCTCATGAGAGGGTGGTCGTGGTGTGTGTGTGTGGGGACGTAAAGAATATCCAAACCTTTAGCCCAGAGCTGTGACAAGGTGGTAAATCCATGAAAAGGTGCCACAGGTGAGGCAGAGACAAGAAGTCAGCCTCCTGGCACCTTGGCCAGGTGCACTGTGTTACCAACACCTGCCTGCAGCTGTCTGGGAAGAGGGAGGTGTGTTCCTGTCCCGGTCCCTACAGCCAGGCAACAGCCTCCACACCTGCATTTGTAAGCCCTGCCAGGCTTCCAGGTGCGAGCCAGCTGGGCTGAAAGGCCCTGTCTCTCTCCTCAGACTGAGGATCTGCAGGAAGAAATGGGCAGAGAAGGCAGAGAGCCAGGAAGGTGTCTCAGAGGTGAGTGCTGGGGGCCACGTTCCACCCAATGTCCCTGTGGTGAACACAGGTGTTCCTCCTCTGCCCCCAGACTTGGCCCTCCCCCAGGTTTCCTGGCACAGCCCCTCATATATGACAACTGTCCTCTCTCACATCCCCCAGAGCCTGTCATTGGCCAAGTCCTGTCCCATTTCCCTTGTATCAACACCCTTCTCCTTTGCTTCCTGTCTTGCTGAGTCCCCAACCACTTCCTGGTGTCTCTGACTCCACCTCCCCTCCCCAAATACTCCCCAACAGACATCATGCTCCCACCATTAACATCAGTGAGTCCAACAAAAAATATGATACAAGCAATGTTTATAACTTATAACTTCCTAGGAGTGGTATCCAAAAAGTAGGAAGGAACATGAGATCAGCTTTCCTATCTGTAAAATGGGATAACAGTCATATCCATGGAGAGAGGCTATAAGTATTACATGTGAGATTAGTAATAAGAACAACCTTTTATGATTAAAATTTATTAATTGTACAAATGGGTACATGAGTGAATGAGTGAGTGAATGAATGAGTGAGGAATCCTCAGGAAATGGGTGTGAAACGGACAAATGAATAAGAGCCCCCAAGTCCCAAATGCTCCTCTACAGACCCCAAACCTAGCTTGGACACCTCTCTCTCCACCCACTCAGGGTCACCTGAATGCACCCTCCTACCACCACCTGCCCACAGCACCAGCCACCTCCCCCTCAGAGCATGAGCTCCACTACGCTGCTCTCAGTTTCCACAACATGAAACCACACAACCCTCAGGCCCAGGAGACCCTGTACTCTGAGGTCAAGATCCAGAAATGATGGCGTACCCCCACCTGCAGGAGCTGGCTGGAGCCCAGAAAAAGCATCTCCGAAAAGAAAGGTGTGTCAGGGTCTGACTCTTAAACAGCTAACAGCCCCCAGGGCCATAGGTCATGAATGGAAAATATGAAGTTCCTTGGAGTGGCTGAGGTGGCAGAGATTCCTGGGTTCAAATCCAGGCTCAGCTACTTACTGAGGGTGTTCCAGCAGGCAAGTCACTTTACCTCTGCGTGCCTCAGTTTCCTGCTCTGTAACATGGGGGATAATTTGATGACCTACATTGTTAAGTGAGAAAACATGCACCATTGGCATTAAGGACATTGTTATGTACTAAGTTCACCTCCGGTCAGAGGGAGATGTCACTTTTGTTTCTATCTCTATCTTCCACTTGGTTGATGATTTTTAAGAACATGTGCTATCACCATTGGGTGGAGAGGAAGTTGCACTATTTTAAAATATTTCTATTTCTAAATGTAACTCCTTGGCAGCAGGAGATATTTCCCATTACATGTACGTAACAAACCCAGATGAACCCAGAGTAAGTAAAGACTGTGTAAAGATCTTCCCAAAATCAGTGAGGAAAAGGCAGACAACCCGAGAGAAAAAAACTGGGTATTCCAGGGGCCAACGAGCACATGGGAAGGCTGCAGGCTTCAGCAGCGATCAGGGAACTGCAAATAGAAACTGCAGTGCTCTGCCATCACACAGCACCACACTGGCGAAAATAATAAAAAGAGTATAAAAAACACCAGGTGTTGAGAACATTGCTCTGAATGAAAACAGCCAGTCACAGAAAGACAGATACTATGATCCCAGTTACCCCCTGTATATGCAGTCATTAAAGTCTTTAAAACAGAGGGCACAGGGTCCCCCATCAGAGGGGCTGGTCATCTCCTGCCTGAACTGGAGTCAGAGCCTCATCTGGGAGCTGTGCTGGGTCCCACAGGGTGTAGGACTCATGATGTTCCTGTGACAGTCGGGGAAAAGGGAAGTGGGTCCCTGAGGAGAAGGCAGCACTCACTCACTCACTCATTCATTCTCATTCAGTCATTCACTCGCTCACTCATTCATTCACTCATTCAGTCACTCACTCATTCATTTATTCACAAGCACTCGGTGAGCATCTAAGTGTCAGTTGGCTGAAGACAAGAGGGGACCCACGAACCTGCTCTGTGTCCCTGAGAAAGTCCCCACCAGAGACCTCCCTTCTTCCCAACACAGGAAGGTGGCTTTAGAGCTGTGGTCACTGGGCAGTTTACCACATTTCCTGTTCACATGCTGTGTATTTTCTAACAATATAACTGCAGGATTTTTGAAAATCTAATGTGCTGAGGAAGTACAATACTGTTTTCCAAAGCAGATGCACAGTTTTATAACATAGAGGAAAGCAAAACAGTTCTATTTTTTATATCTGCTCCCACAGTTGGTATTTTCTATTTTTCAGTTTGTTGATAAAGCAAACTTCCAGAATCACGGTGGAACCCCGTGTGTGGTTTAAATAAAATGATCTAATGTTAATAATTTTGAGGATAGTTTAATGTATTTATTGACCATTTGTGTGTCTTTATATAAATGTTTATTCAAATAATTGACCAAATTTTAAGTGTGGTTGTTTCTTTTGTTTTTGTTTAGTGACTTTTTTTTTCTACAAGTGGGCTGATTTTTTGTTCATTGGTTTGTTTGAGAATTTTGGGTATATTCTGGATACCATTCATGAAATTTATATTTGCAGGTTTATTTCTCCAAGTCTGTAACTTTTCCTTTAACTCTCTTAATGGTGTCCTTTATGGAACAACATCCTCCTATTCCCAAAAACCTGTGCCCCATGTGAGGTGACCCTGAAATGTATCAGGACATGGAAGAGCAGGGCAAACTAGGTCTGGAGGCAGGATGGGGACATTCATGGGGGGCAGCATGTCACATGGGCAGTGCAGAGGGTGAATACTGGCCACCCAAAGAGAGCCTGGTACCTGCAAATGTTACATGATGAGGAAAAGGGTCTCTGCAGATGGGATGGAGGTGAGGATATTGACCTGGAGAGGATCATCCCTTGTTAGGTATGGTCCCTGCATGTAGCCACACGTGTACTCCAAGGGAGACACAGCAGGTGACTTTCTGCACACAGAGCAGGATGAGGAAGTGTGCCCAGGTGACAGGCTGTAGTGACCCAGACACTCACCAAGGATTGCCAAGGGCCCTGGCCCCTGGGAATCACAAAGGTGGACTCTCCCTTCGAGTCTCTGAGAGTGTGAGTCCCACCAACCACTGGATTTCCACACATCAGAACTCATTTCTTATCATGGGGTTCAGGACATGGGACCCCAAGATGTGGCAACTTGTCTTTCTCTGTTTTAGGGGCCTCAGCCAAGAACTTAGAAGGGCAGAATGAGAAGATATCTTATTTCCTGCATGAACTTCTGGCCTGAAGGACCAAGACAACAAAACTTTACCAAAAAAGGCAAGGAGTATGTGGTGATTTGTTTTGATGGCCTCAGGAAAGCAACACAGGGGAGAATTCATGGGGCACCTCTGGGGAAAAGTAGAGAATGAATAGAGAAAAGTCCTCTTCCTCCTGATCCACTCCTCTGTTCTTCTTTGCAGACAAACTTCTCAGGGGTTTTCTGGACCCTGGCATCCCATATCCCCTCCTCCAATTCCCTACTGATTCTGCTCCAGTCACATATTCATACCTTTCCTACCAACCACTGAGACCCAGTGACTTGCATTTTCTTGTGTCTTCTCTTCTCTGCAGGTCGCCAGAGCCTGTGGTATGTCATCACTGTCACCCGGTCACACTGACACATGTGTCCCCATCTCCAGGCTTAACCACTTCCTCATCTCCATCGTTCATACCTGGGTTCTCACTGATGTCCCCTGGTGGTCATGAGGTGGCTTCTCAGATAGAACGTCACCCTCAAAACCGTTCTCTGGTCCCTGAAACACAGGCCATCCCTTCTGTGGCTCAGTGCTCTAGTGTCTCCACTGATTTAAATTCTATCCTCTTGTGTCCAGAAAGGCAGCTTCTGGATCTCAGAAATTTTGATGCTGGGTCCACAGGCACATCCCCAGTGTCTACAAAAATTCTGGCACACTGTAGGCATTCAGTTGTACTTGCTAAAGAAGATATAAATAAATGACAACCCTACATATTTCATTGTTCACAATATACAGGAATTACACACACACACACACACACAGACACACACACAAAATGAGGTGACTTTTAACTGAGA